ATCGTGGTTTTCGTCCTCCGGATCTGCCCAGTACTCCTCGCCATACCCCACCACCTATCTCGATCCCCATGACACTGCCATTGCCCATGATCATTGAGCCACCGCCATCCCACCGATCTTCCTCATTGCCAAGGTCAAACCAAGAACCTCCATACTGATCAAGATTGTTCGGGGGCTGGCTCTGCTTTGCAAGTCTGGTGGGAATGGCATTGATATCATTATGTCGCAGAAGATATCCGTTCATCTTGAAACTGCTGTCGCCGATACGCTTTGCCAGATGATCGCACCTTTGCAATAATAGGTACATCTTGCCCACCACATTGAAAAATGAGACCCGCCTGATCAGAAACCTCTTCATAAACCAATTACACGTCCGCGATATAGCGACGAAGATCTCGAGGTCCTCGTTCAAATTGGAAACCACGTCAACCGCCACTCCAACCGTGTCCCGTTCATACAGACCATTATCTTGCTCCAGCCATTTCGCGGATAAGCTCAATCCAAACGGGAGCGCCACTGCGACATTCACTGAGTCGGCCTCTTCTTGTGGGAGCGAAGCGTTTTTCATCGATGAATTCAATGAACCCGCAACCCACCTTGAAACATGATGCTTGCTTGCATGCCCCCCTCTGCATTCGCTGCGAATTAAGCAGCGCGGCCACACTGGTCATCCTCCACATTCTTCGTTTTCCACCACAATGATAATTGTTGCAAGTACGCCTTCTCCCCATACGCGACAAAGCCCGGCTTCCAGCCAGGCGGTACACACCGAGTGCACCCTTCCAAAGGTAAGTATATTCTATTATCAGAAACTATGTCAACCGTTGCCTATGACCTACCATACACTTCACCAGGCGCGATGGAATCGAACCTGCTGATCGGAAATCCATAAACTGCTGAACATGTCCAGCTCCAAAGAAGAAGCCCCACCAGGATGTGTCCTCGAACTGGTCGGGGCTGCTGGCGTCGCTGGGAAAAAAATCACGCGCTTGATGATCCGTCGCACCCCGCTGGGGGTACTGCTCACCTGCGAGAAAATACCCCGCTGCTTGATAATCCGTCGCACCTCCGTGGAGATGCTGGTCACTTGCGCGAAGGTGCTCCACTGCTCCCTGATCTGTTGCACCTCCGTGGAGATGCAGCTTGCCTTCTTGTTGAGCCGGTTGGTGATGAGCATCGCGGGCCGCGCTGGCCCGGCGGGAAAGGCCGCGCGCGCCGCCCGCGGGCGGCTCCGCGACCAGAGCGGAGATCGTTCAGATGTTCTAATAGTTTAAGCCCGCGCGGTTGCGGGATACAACGTGACTCTGTCTCTCATGCCAGTCCACAGTAAGTGTAATAAGAACGACTACTAGCTAGTCCTTTACACCAGTAGCCTCAGTTATCTTCTCGCAAGAGAAGAGGAAGGAAGAGGAGGGGGGAAGAAAGAAAAGCAGGAGGAGGAGGAGGAAGAGGAGGCCGTTCGGGCGCACGTAGGGCACCCGCTGCCGCGGCAGGATCCACCACAACCATCATCTTCATCATCAGCAGCCTCAGCATCACCATCACCATCATCGTCATCATCATCACCATCATCACGAGCATCATCATCATCATGATCATCATCCTCATCAGCAGCATCATCATTGTCATCATCATCGTCATCATCATCTCCAGCCTTATCAGCAACAGCATCACCACGCCATGGTCACCATCATCAGGACCGTCAACCATCCCCATGGTCAGATCCATCTCTCTCTCTCTCTCTCCATCGTCATCGTCAGTATCGTCATCACCTACATCATCATCCACAGAATCCACATCAGCATAGCTACCATCGTCATCACCACAATCACCAAAAACAATACCGCCATCATTAACGTCATGTTCAGTATCCGCACCGACAGTATCATCATCGTCACCATCATCAACACCCTCACCATCATCATCAGCAGCAACATCACCGTCATCATAACCATCATCACCATTATCATCATCGGCATCAGCACCATCATCATCATCTGCAGCAACAGCATAATCATCAGCAGCAGCACCATCCTCATCAGTATCATGATCATCCTCATCGGCAGCAGCAGCATCACCATCATAGTCATAGTCATAGGCCCCCTCCGTCGCAGCAGCACCATCATCGCAATTGGCATCATCATCCTGGCCACCGCGCGCAGCATTAGCAGCATCAACATCAGCAGCAGCATCACCATGATCAGAATCACCACCCCCACCACCATAATTGTTCTCCGTCCTCTCTTCCTCATCAGCACCACCACCACGATGATCATCATCCTCATACCATCGTCCGCCCCTCCTCCCCTCGCTCCTCATCCTCCTCATCCTTCTCGTCCCCTCGGCGCTGTAGGCAGTGAATCCGATGTTCGGAGCTGCCACGCCCTCCCCCCCAGGGGCGGTCGCCCCTTCGGAGGCGAGGGTGAATGAGGCGAGGACCGACGTCCGCAACCGCACTGACGCGCGGCAGCGCGCCTTGAAAGCGTCGGCGATGGGGCCACAGCCCCTCGGATGATGACGAAGACGTCCCAGAGTCAGTGTGGTGACCACCTTCCTGTCTTCTTGCCTGAACTCTGCAAAATCACCGAATCGGTTGTCTTTCGCACATAAGATCAGAACGCCATCACTGAACTCAAGGTTTTCAGCGGCCAAGCCCATTGAGGCATGAAGCATCAATGGGCAGATGTGAAAGGAGTACCCTAGATCGTCGCAGCCCCCTGCTCCGAATCTGTCAATGAAATATGTGAACATCCTTCCGAAAGACATGCGCTTAGTTGCCAGAACAAGTGCTGACGCCCAGACTCGTTCCGAATTTCGACGAGAAGTGCGTTGATGCCCATATCTGCCTCCGTAGCCACCATCACTTCATCGTCAGTTTGTTCGGGGTACTATGCAAAGCACCCCCGCCGGGAGGATTCAAATCAGCACTAACATAGATAGAAACCGCGATTGCAAAAATCCGCAGTTGATATTCAGTGCGATCGCGAACGCAAGGATGTTCACATGTTGCCTCTTCTGATTCCAGCGCATGTGCCTGGAGGTCGCTGGCTGGAGAATTCACCTTGCAAACTGGAATCGGAATCTCGGTCATGACCATATTGTTTGTGTATGCGGATCTTTGTGGGCATTCTGGCATGGATTCTGGCACTGAATGCTCTCGCACCGTACGCCGGCTTCACGCTTGAATTCGATCAGACAGGATTGTTTAAACCAACGGCCTCTATCTTCTCATGTAAGTTTCATCCGCGTGCCACGTAGGACATGTCCATCCATGTCCCTGCCCCATGAGGAAAAGAACATATTCGTCAGCGTCTGCAAGTTACAGCAACGCAAGATGCTTTGAGAAGAGTATTGTGCAGTACTGCCTGGCGAACAGCAACACTACGATATCTCAATCGTCTCCTCCTCGACTTTGACATGTCCACACAGGGTCGCAATGAAGCGTCACAAGGCGGGGCCGTCTGCATTGCTCCTGAAACTGTTTAGACTTGGGTTGACTTGGGCTTGAGCCAACCTTGGGCTTGAGCTTGAGCCAAACGTGAGCCAAACTTGAGCCAAGCTTGAGCCAAGCTTGAGCCAACTTGGAGGGGGGGGTCAAACTAGGTATCTGTAGTAGGTTGTAGACTGGAAACCACGAATGGCGAGGAAGACCCCCAGGGGGCGGGGTAGCTATGTCCTCCTGCACGCCTGGAGGGGAGAGACGAGGAAGATGTGCAGCTAAAGAGAGTGAGGAAAGCTACGGCGGTGAGAGGCGGTGGTTGAGAAGCGGCAAGCCGGGTTTGATCAGTGGGCGATGGGCTACTGGGTAATTACGAGCTTCGAGTTTCAATAGGATCGGGGAACGTTCCCAAGCACTGTAGCAACTGTGCGGGGGCGACTGGCTGGTGGGCAGATGGCAAGCGGTGCCTGGCGAAAGGTTGCGGCGAAGCGGGCGCCAATTGTAGCCAGAGGGGTGGGGGGGGCTACCGGGTAGGAGTTACCAGTAGGATCGGGGAACGTTCCCACGCGTTGGCGCGCAGTGCAGAGGCGACTGTCTGGGCGAGGCAGCGGAGTAGAAAGGGGGCTGCGAGAATGCTGCACAAGCAAATGGCGGCCTCCAATCGCCTCCCGGGCCCTCCGCGTGCCTGCGCAATCCTCTCGGGCCGCATCGGACCGCCGGCACATCGGAATCGAATCGGATCGGGCTGGCCTAGATCGACACTGAATCGGATCGATCGGATCGACGTCGGCCCTGATGCCTGGGTCACTCCCCACTTGAGCGGTTCTCAGCGCGGCTCGTTGGCGGCGCGCTCCAGGGGATGGCCCGAGGGGGGTCTCCCCAACCCGACCCGAAGTCGCCGATGAGCCTGCCCATTTCCAGTGGGAGACGTCCTGGAACATGGAGACAACGCACTGGGACCCGTAATCCCCCCAGCCCGAAATTCGGATGGGAGTTTGGGACCTTCGCGTTGACCTGGAGTGGCTTGGCCAGTGGCGAAAAAAAGGGCACGGGAGCCTCCAGGGGAGGCCTCCGGGAGGCTCGCCCGCGAAGCTTTCCCGCCCTCCTGGGGGGCCGCCGTCCTCGCGCCGCCGCCCCGTGCGCGCCGCCGGCCCCCCCAGAGTGGGGGCCGACGGAGGGCTGCGGGGGCGTGGTCCCGCAGGGGCCCAAAGGGGGGGAAGCGAAGCTGCCACCCCGCGGTGCCTCCCTCCCGTTCCCTGTGCGCCAGGGATCTCGAGTCCAGGTCGAAGCGCCCGGTCGGATCACTCAACGTCGAGGCGGGAAGGCGAGCCGAGCCAGCACGCGCGTCGGATCGGGCTGCACCGTCGCGGAAGCCAAACCACACCGGCCAGCCGCGCCAGGATGCACAAGAGCGCCACGCAGTCGTCGGGCCGCATCGGATCGCTGGGAAGGCCGACGCCGAGTCGGGTCGGGCGGGGCGTAGCCGAGATCGAACCGGACGGATCGCATCGACGCGGCCCCCGAGGGTGCAGCTGGGCGCCGCTGCGGGCGAGGGGCGCTCCTGCTGGCCCGCGACCCCGCAGCCCTGCAGCGCCACCACGGCCGCGCCGAGCCGGGTGAGGAGCCTCGGGGCGCGCGCCGCAGAGGCCGGGAGGGCCTTCCTGCGGCAGGCTCGCCACGTGCTGGCCTGAGCGCTGGCTTCCGACTCCACGTGGGTCGTTCCACGCTTGAGTTAAGCCGGGCCTGTCCTCCTGGAGGGGAAGTTTGGACGACAAATCAAAGATGCTCCAAAAGCACTCCAAACGTATTCCAAAAGTAGCCAGAAACTCGTCCCCAGGCTATTTCTCACTTCTTTTGAATATTCCCCCTGTAAAGGGACAGGCCCGACGTAACGCTTGAGCGACCACGGCTGTCCGACAGCAAAGATCGCTCGGCATCGGCCGACTTGGGGCCTCTCGCGGCGTTCCACCCCGAGCACCCGCGCGGGGGCCGTCGCCGCGTCGATGCGGCACGACTGCTGCAAGACCGGTGCAGTGAGCGTCGGTGGCCGCAGCTGCGCACACGCGAGCCCCCTCTCCGCGCGGCCCCAAGGCCCCACTGGCAGAGCGGCAGGAGGGCCCCAGCGCGGCCCTTCAGAAACTGACGCATCTTTCATCGCTCGAGCAACCAGAATCAAGGAAAAAACTAGAACCCCTCCTCACCCTCCTCCTCCTCCTTCTCCTCCTCCTCCTCCTCCTCCTCCTCCTCCTCCGCCTCCTCCTCCTCCTCCTCCAACGATGTGCGAGCTCCCTCTCTGCTGCTCCTGGCTTTGTCCTCTCTCTCTCGCCTTCCCCTCCTGGGGCTCAAGCCTCTGGGTCAAGCGGGCCCGAGACCAGGTAAACTCCAGAGGCCCGCTCCAGAGGCCAGTCAGGGACCCACCTTTGCGCGGTGCAAAGCGTCAAACCGACCGTTTTTGCGGCGGCAACCGCGTCGCCAGAGTGTCCCGCTGCAGGGGACGTTCGGCCGTCCGCGCCAGAACGCCCAGCTCCGCAAAGGAAAACGCGTTGGCACGCAAACACCGATAAGTTTGCAGGGGGCGGCCCTCTCTCCGCGCCGCAGCTCCACGCGCACTCGCGGCTTCCTCGGGTGACTTCTCCGAGACTTCAGCTGATGGGCCCCGCGAGCAAGCACTCCGACCTTCGCCAGGCGCAGTGGCACAACCGCGGCGAGTGACGGCAAGGGGTGACGTCGAATAGGGGACCGACTACAGAGTTGATTTGTCCCGAAATCGGTTTTCTCGTCGAAGCTACGGAGAAGACTCGGAAATCTCAGCTGATGGGTAGAACCAATCTGGGCGCAAATCGATTCTGTCGTCGATCCCCTACTCGATGACTACGACCAAACTGCACCCAGCATCGTGGATGGAGTGCAAGCGGTGGGCCCCGTCCGCCGGGAGGATTGCTCTGAGCCCGGGGTGCGGAGGAGACGCAACCAGCAGTGGGGAACGCGCGTGCAGGCGGCAAAGAATTGGAGGTCCCCTTTGTACGGCAACGGCACCCATGCACCGTACCATGCTTGGACTCCCTTCAGGCCCTGCTTCAACGCGGTACCGTGCATAGTAGTTCGGCGTCAAGGGGCCGAGAAACTATGCACCGTAATTACCATTACTGGGCCGAGGATCGACGACGCCGCGGGAGACGCCAACGCGGTACTGAACACACATGTCGTCCGCGGACTTTGGGGGGTCCCCAAACCATGTGGTGGCGGACCGAGCAGTGACCTCGAAATCCTAAGAGACCCCGAATCCGCACTGACTCGCTATGCAGTGTGGTCACTACAACGTTCGGGGGTGCCCGAAAAAAGAATGACAGGTAGCAGCCGTGGTGCAGGAGAGAACGGGACACAGCTGCGGCCGGGCCCCAGGACGGAGGGCTGGAAGACAGACACCTGCGCGCGCAGCGGAGACCCAGGGGACAAGGCGGGAAGCCAGGGCCAACGACGGGTGCCCAAACATGCGGCGCTCGCCTTTTCCAAGAAAAGGGTCCGAAGTCCCGACCCTTTCCCCATGTCGGCGGCGACGACAGGGGCGAATAGCCCAGGGGCGAGCGTTACACGTATTCGCCCGGGAGCCTTTTCGAAGACATAGATCATCGGCGCACCTGAATACATGTATTGCTCTCCCCTGGGCTATTCGCCTGTCGTCGCCTCTGACCCATGGCCCTCTGACGGTCCTGGGGCCCGGCGGGGTCCCCCGGAGGGCCGAAAACGCCAAGAGCCCTGGGCAGCGGAGGAGGAGGAGGAGGAGGAGGAGGAGGAGGAGGAGGAGGAGGAGGAGAGGAGGAGGAGGAGGGAGGAGGCGGAGAGGAGGAGGAGGAGGAGGAGGAGGGGGAGGAGGAGGAGGAGGAGGAGGAGGAGGAGGAGGAGGAGGAGGAGGAGGAGGAGGAGGAGGAGGAGGAGGAGGAGGAGGAGGAGGAGGAGGAGGAGGAGGAGGAGGAGGAGGAGGAGGCGGAGGAGGAGGAGGAGGAGGAGGGGGAGGAGGAGGAGGAAGGAGGAGGAGGAGGAGGAGGAGGAGGAGGAGGAGGAGGAGGAGGAGGAGGAGGAGGAGGGGAGGAGGAGGAGGAGGAGGGGGAGGAGGGGGGGAGGAGAAGGGAGGAGAGGAGGAGGAGGAGGAGGAGGAGGAGGAGGAGGAGGAGGAGGAGGAGGAGGAGGAGGAGGAGGAGGAGGGGGAGGAGGGGGAGGAGGAGCAGGAGGCGGCGCACGGGCCCGAGGACCCGGGCAGCGAAGGCCTGCAGCGCACCGCCGTGCGCGCGCGGCCGCAGGCCAGCGCGCGAGGCCGGTGGGCAGGGCGACGGGGGCGAGGGGAGCGAGGCGACGAGGCGGGAGAGGAGCCCAGGGGGGCGAGGCGAGGAACGCGACGGCGAGGACGAGGACGAGGACGAGGACGAGGACGAGGACGAGGACGAGGACGACGACGACAACGACGACGACGACGACGACGAGGACGACGACGACGACGAGGACGACGACGACGACGACGACGACGACGACGACGACGACGACGACGACGACGACGACGACGACGACGACGACGACGACTACGACGACGACGACGACGACGACGACGACGACGACGACGACGAACGAGGCGACGGCGACGACGGGGGCGAGGGGAACGAGACGACGACGAAGACGAAGACGAACTCGATGGGAACGACGACGACGACCAGCCCCCGTGATCACCGCGGCCTAGCAATTGGGCACCCCGAGGAGGAGCCGCCGAGGACGGGGGACACTTCCCCACTCGCGCACCACAGTGTGGAAGGCGTGGCAGTTGGGCACCCCGAGGGGAGCCGTCATGCAAGGGGACACTTGCCCGTTCGCGTCCAGATTGCGAGAACTTGTCTGGCGATTCCCTCGTTTTGCGGTTAGGACTTCCATCCTTTGAAAGCCTTTGAAAGGCATGGTTCTTGGGCGCCCCAAGAAGGAGCCGCCAGAAAAGGGGGCACTTGCCCGTTCACGCTCGTTTGGCGTCCTCAAAATTTCCCTCCTTCATCCTTCTTTCCTCCAGGTCCTCTTCCCCTACCCAGATTCAGATCCATACAAACTCAGCTCAGTCATACTCAGACGCATGCACACTGACCCCGTACACACAGATCATTCACAACCAAACGAACTCAAAGTCTGACTCAATCATTATCTGCCGATCCGGCGTGTGAGTTTCTGAGAGCGTGGAATTGAGCTCGCTCAAACTTCGCTCTGCAAGGGGGGGGGCGCCATTTCTGACGCCATTCAGTGCTCGGGAGCCCGGGAGGGGTTTCGCTGCTCGGGAGCCGTGGACAGGGAGGAGGGGGGGGGACGCCAATCCCGACGCCATTCAGCTCGGGACCCGGGGGGGGGGGTCGCTGCTCGGGAGCCGTGGACGGGGGGGGGGGCCAGGCCATTTCCGACGCCATTCAGTGCTCGGGACCCGGGTGCGGGGGGGGGGGGCACGCTGCTGGAACGCCATTCCCGACGCCATTCACTGCTCGGGACAGGAGCCGGGCGGTGCGTTAGCTCGGGAGCCGTAGACAGGGGGGGCGGGAGGCACGCCATTCCCGACGCCATTCCCGACGCCACTCAGTGCTCCGCCGACGCCATTCAGTGCTCGGGACCCGGGGGGGGGGGGGGGTCGCTCTGCAAGGGGGCGGGGGGGGGGGGACTCCTTACCCGACGCCATTCCCGACGCCACTCAGTGCTCGGGAGCCGTGGACTTGAGCGCTGTGCAGGGGGTGGGGAGAAGGGGGGGGGGCACCATTCCCGACACCATTCAGCGCTACGCAACGGGAAGAGTGTTTTCTCTGTAGTGGGGAGGGGAGAGGGCTCGCCATTTCCAACGCCACTCCGTGCTCAAGAACGGGAGGGGAAGGAGGGGGTCGCTCTGCAGAAGGAAGGGGGAGGGGGGGGAGGCCATTCTCGCCGCCATGCATTGCAGCGCGGAGGCTCCAAGACGCCCCCAGGAGGCCCCAACAGGCCCCCAAAAAAGCCCGCAAGATAATCCAGAACGCCCTCAAAAGGCCCGAAAACAATGCCAAGAAGTCCCAAAACGAGCCCCGAGACGCTCCCCGAGGTCCCCTGCTCAATCCCCTGAGCCTCAGCCCTCAAGCCAGTGGATCCTTCATGGGCTCGGACCCCAAACTTTGAACTCTCTCGGGCCTCTCCGCGCGCCCTCTGGGGCCCCCGGAATACTCCCGCATAACTTTGTCCAGCCCGAGGAGGACCCAAGACGGACCTACAGGGCCCGAAGAGGCCCTCAGAACGACCCACAACGGCCCCGAATCACTCAAAGATCGGTCCGAGACGCCCAAGATGGCCCGAGTACGGCCCGAGAAGTTTTCGAGACTCCCCAGGAGCCCCACGACCTTCCCCAGAAAGCTCCTGCACGCAAAAATCTGTCATTTTCTCTGAACTGTTCAATGTGTATGTGTAGGCAGGGCTTTTTTCCTTCCACGCTCCCGACGTTCTCTGCTCTCACTTTGATGTCCTCCCGCCCGCACCCCTCGTCGACGGCAACAGCCGCAGCGGCACCGACAATTACGACGGTAACACATCACAGGCTCACACGGACCAGTGACCACCCTGCGGACGGCAAGAGAGCTTCGAATGCGTGAAGGAGGCCCGCCGTAGGAACATTCGACAGATTTGGGAGAGACATGGATGGATCAGGAAGCAGGGCATGGAAGACTCCTGACACCCACCAGCTCGATTTCGGAACGTGGACAACCGGACCTCTCGACCGCTTCCCCAGGGTCGTCATCACCATCTTCATGCTTTTCACCATGGCCATTACCATGATAAACATCATCATAATCATAGTCATACTCATCGATACTATCATGAGCATCACCATCAACATCACCATCATCATCAGCATCATCATCATCATCATCATCATCATCATCATCATCATCATCATCATCATCATCATCATCATCATCATCATCATTATCCAGAGCGCCCCGGATCGGCGGCACTGGACTGGACGGAGGCCAGCACATATTCGTACCAGACCACGCAGTCTGATCCACTAACCCCCTCACACTCACACTAAGACTAATCACACTCTGATCCACCATGCTCGAACCACTCAAATTCAGACACACTCAATGCGTAGCTCTTGAGGGACCCGAAAGGCGAACCGGCAAAGGGTGTTACACTTGCCCGTTCGCGGCCAGAGTGTGGGCCTCAGGGCCCCATGATCGCTGCGACGTAGAAGGCATAGCACTTGGGCAGCCCCAGGCTGAGCCGCCAGGCAGCGCCCAATCGCCACAGGCTAAGACCCTCTCACCTCAACGCTCACAGCAGAACTTGCCCGACATGTGATGCACCTATGGGGGCATCCGTGTCGAATCATGTCCGTCCGCCGCCCCGGAAGTCATGACAACGTCCTTGGAAGTAGCTCGTCGTCCAGGATCCATCGTCCCTGTGGCCGAAGACGGCCAACGGGAGCCGAAGCGAAGGAAAAACACTGCGACTGAACAAAACGATCCTGGTGAGGGGCCCAACCTTTAGCAGCTTCGGGTGACGTTGGTGGTGGGACTCGGCATGAACCCCCACCGTATGACGGATGTGCCGAAATGCACGGGGGGGCAATGCAAAGTTTACAACTGGGGCCGCATGTGGAGCTCTTGAGGGGGGGGAAACGAAGGAAGGGTACGCCGACATGCGCGGGGAAAGGAATGTAAACTTTCCCACTGGGACAGTGGGTGAGGCTCGCGTGAGGGGTGCCGAGACGGGTGGAAGTACGCATGCGCGCTTTCCCGATAAGACCGTATGTGGACCTCCCTGTCGGGCTGACAAACTAAAAGGAAGGACCAGTCTCCCGTGATTGCACACAGACCTGATACTTTGCTCTAGAGTGAGCGCAACATGTTTGGACTTGACCCTACAATATGATACTCACAGCGGGCCCCATTTTAAACGAGTCCGAGACATGTCAGAAACGCTCTGAAGTAAAACCCGGCCGCACACAAAATGACGCGTAGGTCCTGCAATTTTCATCTCGGAGGCCCATCAGCGGATCTGAAATGATCTTAAAGCAAACACCCAGCCGCACACAAAATGTCGCGCAGGCCCTGCAATTGAAATCTCGAAAGCCCATCAGCGGATGCCGGAAGTCTTGGGGGCTGCCTTCAAGGCCTTCAAGAGCGTCTCAAGAGGATCCCAAAGCGGTCTGTAAGGGCCCAGAATCACCGGAAGTCGTTCCAAAATGCCCACGATAGCCTTCAGACGGCTTCAACCGCCTCCAAGACGCCCGAAGATGCCTCCAAGGCCACTCCCAAGAAGCCCCCTGGAGGCAACATTCAATATTTTCCAATTTGGTGTTTGAAGGTTATCAGGTTTCTCACATGTTCGGCCGCCGACGCTGAAAGACGGCCCAACAAGCCCCTAAGCTCACTCCAAGGCGGCCCATAAAGCTTCCAAGAGAACCCCAAAACGGCCCACAGGGGCTCCCCAAGTTTCTCCCCAGGCGACGCTGGAAAGCCCCGAGACACTTTCAGGAAGACCCCTCAAGGGGGAGCCCCAACGGACATTTCGAGCGCTCGGCCAAAAAATCGCCCCCATGCCTCAACTACACACGTAAGCGTATGTTATCAAGAATGCTCGTAGTTCTAAGTGATATCACGTCGATCACAGGCACTGAGAAGTTGACGCCAGCTAGATGCGTGGCAGTGCTGGTCAAAAACGAATGTCACACACACACACACACACTCTCACACAAACAAACAAACACAGACACACACAAACATAGACACACAACAACATAGACACACAACAACAACAATCATTTAAGACTGGGGACACTCCGTTCTCACCAGTGCCAGGGTTTTCATAGGAGGCGGGCAATACCCCCACTTTGTGGGGGGGCCGGTTCAAGCTCTACCAAGTTTCCAAACGACTCTTCGCCACCACCCACACCCAGCTTCCCGCCCTATGACGTTCGGACACTTCACTTCGTGGCATGCGGACGACCGTGGCTACTATTCAGGGCCCCGCGGCCGACGACGACGGCGTGCGCGCGCGAAGAAAAAACGAATGTGTCCCGCATGGTATTATTTGACAGGGATGATGGCCCTGGCAGGTGCGCAACCGTTGTCGCAGAAGTTCGAAAAAGTTGCTCGCAAAAGCCCGTTTGACAGAAATGTTTAAAAAGTGTTGGGTTTCCTACGAATCCGCAAGAGCGCGCGGGATGAGATTTTGACATTTTTTTGTTGAAAAACCATTGGTTTTTTGATGTTTTTATGTTAAAATCGCTCCGAACACTAAGCTTTTGGAAGGATTTCGTCTTGCGCGCGCGAATGTCCACTTTACCTTATTTTTTGCAAGGGATTCTTGAAATTTGATTATATTAGAACAAGAAATGTCATTTTATAGTGTTTTTTGATTAGAAAAACAACAATTTAATAAACAACTCACCTACTGAGATGCCTAGGCGCGGCGGGGGGGGCGTGCACCAGGGGGCCCAACAATAATTATTCTTTAGAATTAATAATGTTCAAAACAACAACAACAACAACAACAACAACAACAACAACAACAACAACAACAACTAACAACAACAACAGCAGCAGCAGCAGCAGCAGCAGCAGCAACAACAACAACAACAACAACAACAACAACAACAACAACAACAACAACAACGACAACGACAACGACAACGACAACGACAACGACAACGACGACGACAACAACAACAACCATAATTTTAAGACTGTTTGCCCTTATATGCTCGAGTGTCCAATAACGCGTATTTCCCAAACCCTCGATACCCGCCCTCTTCGTCTTCGATCGAACCCTTTTGGGGGGTATACCTTTCTTCTCTGCAGGCTGGGCCCCGGCAAGCGGCGGGGCGGCCGCGGACCGTCGGCCTGGCCAGCGGCAGCGATGATCGGCGGGGCGGCCGCGGACCGTCGACCCGACCCCAAGAGGGACGGACAGGGGACCGACCACGACGACGACGACGACGACGACGACGACGACGACGACGACGTCGAAGACGACGACGACGACGACGGCGACGACGAGCGAAAGCGAGAGCGAGAGAGAACGACAGCAGGGCCACGAAGGGCACGAAGTAGGCCACGAAGGGCGACAGCGGGGACACGAAGGGAATGCGTATGGGGCCACGAAGAGCGCGAACGAGCGGGGGCCACGAAGTGCAGATAATGCGGGGCCACAGAAGGCAACTATGGGGCCACTGAGGGTAGCAACTGGGCCACGTAGGACAGTGAGGGGGACACAAATGGCGACAGCGGGGCCACGAAGGGCATGCACGTGGGGCCACAACGGGCGCGACTCCTGGGTGCCTGGGTGTCGGGAGCGCGGCGCTTGGGCAAATTGCAAGAAATTCCAACGCAAGGCTATTCGTCAGTAAGTTGCAAGCAAGTCTCCAGCGAGAGCGCGACTCTAGAGCGCCGTGAGAACAATTCCTGAATAAATTGTAAGGAAGTCCCAAGCGAGAGCGCGATTCCTGAATAAAATGCGAGGAAGTCTCGGGCGGGAGCGGGGGTCCTGGCTAAATTGAAAGGAAGTCTCAGGCGGGAGCCGTTGTTGTTGTAACCCGGGGACCAGGGGCTCAGTTTGAGCAGGAAGACTTTCCCTGTCAAAAAACAGGGTGCGAGCGTCGACGGGCACACTTTGATTGAGAAAAAGCAGTATGCGCCGGTGGGTGGGGATCAACAAAAATTATTCTTCAGAAATGAAAAATCAACAACAACAACAACAACAACAACAACAACAACAACAACAACAACAACAACAACAACAACAACAACAACAACAACAACAACAACAACCACAACCACAACGACAACGACAACGATAACGACAACGACAACGGCAACAACCACAACAACAACAACAACAACAACAACAACAACAACAACAACAACAACAACAACAATGACAACAACAACGACAACGACAACAACAACAACAACAACAACAACAACAACAACAACAACAACAACAACAACAACAACAACAACAACAACAATAACCACAACAACAGCAACAGCAGCAAAAACAACAACAACAACAACAACAATAACAACAACAACAACGCCGACGACGACGACAGCAACAACAACCACAACAACAACCACGACAACAAGGTCAGGCGAAAGAGCAAGCAAAGAAGCGTGCCTGGATTGCCCCGGCATTGGCGCCAATGCTCGAGAGCGCCTACATCCACAACGGGATAAGGCTTCGAACAAGCCGATTGAAAGCCAGCTGCCACGAGCCAAATGAACACAGCAAATGGCCCCTCTCTTGAGTTATGAGTCCTGCGCATGATTCATTGCAAAGTCCGAGCCCCGATACAATACTATTAGAAGTCCTTCACGCTCAGTATCAAATTCTTCGCCCATTTGCACCCAATACTGCACTCTTCCGCGTTCATGCAAGCCATAACTGCCCAAGGCACTGGCAAATGTCCGCTTTTGCAGTTCAAAGCAGCGGTATCATTGAGACTGGCACGTTTGTACAATACGATGGGCAACCTACGCGTGCTTCCCACGTGCACGGATGTACATGTCACACGCATGTGGCGCATTGACACCCCTCTGCGGGTGCTCTCCCGAAGTTGCGACGAAGAAAATCCCAACAGCCCTCGGGGCGTTAGTGGTGTAACGAGCTCGTTCTGCTAATCACGTTCTTCCCCTTCGGCTCCTACACGCCCCCCCCCAAGATGGCCCAAGACGGCTCCAAAACGGCCTCAGAAAGCCTAAGATGGCCTGCAAGCTCGCTCAAGACATCCCAACATGGTTAACGATTGCTTCCACCATGCCTCAAAGAGACCCCAAGACCGCTCCAAGGCGTCTCCAAGTGCCGAGCCTCCCACGGAGACCCCCAAGAGGCCAAGATCCTTCGAAACCAGTGTGTTACAATGTTGTGTGCCTTCACCATGGTGTGTGCCTTCTCGTCGTTTCGCTTCCGATGAGTTCTGACGTTCTCAAGACACCTCCAAGATGGCTCAAGATGGTGCCAAGAGGGCCCTAATAGGGACCCAAGACGGCACCAAGAACCCAAGACCGCCCCAAGAACGCTCCAAAAGGGCTCCAAGAGGCTCAGTGTAGGGCCACGGCGGGAATGGCGGGGGGGGCACAAATTGACGCCGCTCGATGTTTGATCGATGGCTTACAAAAAGGCCCAGCAACGGCCCCCACGGCCTCCAAGAGACCCCAAGAGGGTTCCAAGAGAGCCCCAAGAGGGCCCCAAGAGAGGACCAGGGGGGGCCAAGAGGTCCCCAAAATGGCCCCACGAAGCATCCCAGACGCTCCCACGGCGAACGATCTGCGAGGGCCATGAGGGTTACTCCCGTCCTCGCCGTCGCCCTCGTCGTGGTCGTCGCAATCGTCGTCGTCGTCGTCGTCCTGAACGCCATCGTCTGCGGTTCCTTTCAATTCCCCTTCCTCCTGTTGACTAGTTTGGGATGGGCTAGTGGGCATATGCGAAGCGTCCAGAATTCGAACTGCCGCTCACTGCAAGGCACAAGAATGCAACATCATCACTGGTATTTTCTGGGCTCTGCTAGCCACGTGGCTTTGGCATAATACACGGCTGTAGACTGCAGCACTGCTCCCTTGGGAAAAAGTTTATTAAAACTCAAAGGACGGCGCAGGAAATGTGGCACGCCGAGGATCTCTCGTAGCACTCGGCGGCAGCTACAGCCTCTCCACCTCGACGCGTTTGCTCAGGATACCTACGTCCAAGAAAGCCACTTCGATGGCCCCCGGAGGTACCAAGCGAGCCGACTTCACATACCAAGACATCTGAAGACACCCCGAAGAATCCGCCACCGCGCTTCGCAGCGGAGAGCTTGATCTGGGACCGTTGCGCCACGCTGCTGCGAGTGCTGCTTTCCGCGGGGCACTAGCCGAGCCCCCAGGCAGGGCATCGTGCAAGCATGCATGATAAGTTGCAGTATAGGCGGGGGGAATAGCGGGGGGAGGGGGGGGCTTTGCTGCGCCAGGCGTTGCCGGGTTGCACCACGTTGTGAAAAGTGGTGTCGGCTTGCGCGGGGGAGAGGGCTGCAACGAACTGTGGGCGGGGTGGCATCGGTGGGGGGGAAGGGAGGGCTGCAACGAACTCTGGGCGGGGTGGCATCGGAGGGGTGCTCACTGAGCAAGCTGGGGCGTATCGTTACACGACTCGATGCCCTCATCCAACAATCCTAACAGGGCTCAGGGCCCGCCTGGGAGCATGGGACCGCCGCACAACGGACCCGGATCCACTAAAGCTGCCTCCAAGACTGAACGACGGCCCCAAGACGAGCCAAAAACTTCGGCGGAACTTCGCGCGACTCCACAGGAGAATACCTCGGGAACGCTTCAAGAACCTCTGGGGCCCTCCACAGCTTTCCAAGGGACAACCATTCGCATGTGGGTTCATAGGGGACCATGAACGCCATAGATCAAATGTCAGAAGTTTGACCGATTACTTATCCAGGAGATTCGAAGCTTCAGGGTCTCCCAAATCCCCATTCAAGGTATCCCACGGACAACCGTTCACAAGCCAACAACTGATGGTAGTGACCCTTGTACCATGCCGTAGTTCTTGGCCCAAGATGGCTTCAACAAGACTGTGGACGCCGAGCGGACGCCCCCAAGATCGCTCTAAGAGAGCCCATGCCAGTCCCCCCCCCGCTTTTGCCTCTGAAACCAGCAGGGGTGGGGTTTGAAAGAGCTTGCAGATCTGCCACCGTGCCTCTGGGCACGGGGTGGGCGCGTCCTCTGGTCCTTTGCCTAACCCTCTAAGCCTCATAGCTCGCTCCTTCGGAGTCTCTGAGGGGCCCAGAGCCGAGAGTGCCAAATCCCCGAAGGAGTTTGCCGCGGTTTCCCTGGGATCCGGCGCGTGGTGGCGCGAGATTTTGTTCGGCCCAAGAGGGCCCCAAGACGGGCCAAGAGGGCCCCAAGATGGCCCCACGACGGCCCAAGAGGCCTCCAGACGCCCCAGGAGAGCCCCAGAAACCTTCCCGAGAGGGCCCCGAGAGGCCAAGATCATTGACTTCCGATTGGCTACTCGATGATTTGGGGGGGTCCTCGACTTTTCAAGCCCCCGACGCTCCAGGACGGCCATGAGGCCCACAGGACCGCCCCAGGACGGCCCAAGGGGCCACCGGGAGGGCCCCAGCACGGCCCAGGAGGACTCCAGGATGGCCCAAGGGGCGCCCTAGAAGGCCCAAGAGGGCCAAGACGGCTCCCGACGGCGTCAGACGGCCAGGAGCCCACCAAGACAGCCCAAGATGGCTCCAAGACGACCCAAGACGGCCCAATAGGCCCCCAACAGGTCTCCAGGACGGCCCAAGAGGCCTCCAAGAGGGCCTCCAGGAAGGCCCGAAGAGGCAAAAATCATTGATGTTCAGCAGGTGCTTGAAGGATTTTGGCATTTGCTTCTTTTCGGCTTTCCGACGGCCCGACACGACCCAAGAGCCCAAAGATCGCCCCAAGATCGCACAAGAGGCCTCCAAGATGGCCCCAGAATGGCCCAAGAGGCCCCCCAGGCGGCCCGAAGAGAGACCCCAAGAGGCCTCCTAGACGTCCAAGATGGCCTCCAAGACGACCCTGGAGCAACCCGAGAGGGCCCCAAGTCTGCCCAGAGAGCCCCCAAAAGCGGATCCCGACGGCGTCAGACGGGCCAGGAGGCCACCAAGACGGCCCAAGATGGCTCCTGGATGGCCCAAGACTGCCCAAGGGGCCCCCAAGAGGTCTCCAAGACGGCCCAACAGGCCTCCAAGAGGGCCTCCAGGAAGGCCTCCACCAAGGCCCGAAGAGGCAAAAATCATTGATGTTCAGCAGGTGTTGAAGGATTTTGGCATTTGCTTCTTTTCGGCTTTCAGACAGCCCAAGACGGCTCACGGGACCCCAAAGATCGGCCCAAGATCGCCCAAGAGGCCTCCAAAATGGCAGCAGGAGGCCGAAAAGGCCCCCAAGACGGCCCCAAGAGGTCCCCAAGACGGCCCAAGAGGCCTCCAAGACGCCGAAGATGGCATCCAAGACTGCCCTGGAGCACCCCAAGAGGGTCCCAAAGTCGGCCAAGAAAGGCCCCCAAGACTGTTTCCAACAGCGTCAGACGGGCCAGGAGCACCCTATGATTGCCAAAGAGAAGCCCACAAAGGCCTCCAACAGACCCAAGGAGGCCCCCAAGATGCCTCAAAGAGGCATCCTGGAAGCTCCCAGGAGACCCCAAGAGTGCCCCCAGAGGCTCTTAAGATGCCCCCTGCTCTTCCTCCTCCTTCTCATCCGTGACCTCCTCCTCCTCCTCCTGATCTTCCCCGCCATCCTCCCCCAAGTGTTCCCCGAAAGGTTTCCGCAACGGCTGGGGGAGCACATGGTCCGATAGCTTGGCAGAGCTCTGGCCACAACGTTCGGCCACATAGGCGCTTCCAAAAAGGCAGGGGGCGGCGGTGATTCGCCGTAGGCGTCTTCGATCCGCCGCCCCATGTTGAGTTATCACAATAGTGCCTGGCGTGCCAAATGTCTGGGCGGGATGATTGGCACAGGTCTTTCCGCTGCTCCAAGATGCCACAAGATGGCCTCCAAGACGACTAAGATGGCCTCCAAGACGGCCAAGATGGCGCCAAGAGAGAGCCCAAGATGGCTCCAAGATGGACCCAAGACGGCCCAAGAGGCACCCAAGATGGCCCAACATGGCCTCAGGATGATCCAACACGGCCCAAGAGGCCCACAAGAGGCCTCCAAGACGGCCCAAAAGGCATCCAAGAGGTCCTCCAGGAGGGCCCGCGGAGGCCAAAATCTGTGATTGTTCTTTGGTTTTTGAAGGAGTATGGCATTTGCTTATTTTCGGCCTTCCGACGACCCAAGACGGCCAAAGAAGCTCCCAAGATTGCAGCAAGATAACCCAAGAGGCCTCCAGGATGGCCCTACGACGGCCCAAGAGGCTACCAAGACAGCCCCGACTGGCCCCAAGACGGTCCAAGAGGCCTCAAAGACTCCCAAAAACGCCTCCAATACGGCCCTGAAGCGCCCCAAGAGGGCCCCAAGTCGGTTCAGAGAAGCATCCAAGACGGCTTCCGGCGGCGTCAGACGGGCCAGGAGCGCCCTAAGACGGCCCAAGAGGCCCCAAGAAACCCGAAAAAGCAACCAAGAGGCCCCAAGGAGGCCCCCAAGAGGCCTTGTAGAGGCCCCCAGGAAGCTCCCACGACACCCCAAGAGTGCCCCCAGAGGCTTCCAAGAGGCGTCCTCCTCCTCCTTCCCCTCCTCCTCCTCCTCCTCTTCCTCCTCCTCCTCCTCCTCCTCCTCCTCCTCATCCTCATACTCCATTATCCTTCTTATCCTCATTCAACGACAGCTGGGAGAACACATGGTCCGATAGCTCTGGCCCAGCTTTCGGCCACATAGGCGCTTCCGCAAAGACAGGGGGGCGGCGGTGATTCGCTGTAGGCGTTTTCGATACGGGTCTTTGCTCCACAGGCCTTCTCGCCTCTCGGATCCCTGGCTCAGTCGACGCCGAACGTGACGTTCGTCTTCGTCCTCGTCGCTGGGCTCCGAGCTCGTCGTCCTTGCGCGCCGGCGGAGCTGATCTTGGGTGCCTGACGGGCGACATTTCGAGCGCACGCTCCAGCGAGGCCCCTTTCGTCCTCCACCTCCTACTCCTCCTCCTCCTCCTCCTCCTCCTCCTCCTCCTCCTCCTCCTCCTCCCCCTCCTCTTCATCCTCCTCCGCTGTGGCGGACACGGGCCCCGAGGATAGGGGGCCTGAACTCTGGTGTCCCCCTGAACCTAACGTGGCACCGGGGAGGCCGTAGGAAGCACGTGAGGCCCCTGCTCCTCATGGCGAGGCCGCAGCGCCAGAGACGGCGCGGCGGCCACTGGCGAAGACGCTACACTGGAGCGAGGAATGCAGGCATCGTCGGCCGACTCGGGATAGGCCGTCGGTGGAGCTGCCTATGGGGCCGTTTCGTGTGAGGGGTGTGCCAAAATGCGCGCGGTGGGCGCATGCGAAAGCCAGCATTTGGGCCTTCGGTGGAGCTCCCTTTGGGGCCACGAAACTTGTGAGAATCCCAAAACGAAAAAAACAAACAAACAACAAAACAAAAAAAAAAAAAAAAAAAAAAATGCCCCGAAACTATGACAAAAACGTCGATCTCGGAAACGAGCAAAAAAAGCCCACCACGTTTTTAACATCATCGAATAATTGGACCCCAACGTTGACCTCTCATGGGAAGGGGGTCTTGCTTCCGTCAGCATCCGCATGAGACTCCGCGGGCTTACGCGGGGGCGTGCCCCAACCGACGATGGACTGGCTCTTATAAGGATGCAGGGCCTCAGTCCTCCACGATGCCTGACGCCACGGCACGTCCTTAGAGTTCATCGGTACTTGACCAGAGGGACGCTAACACCTCTGCAATCCATCAAAAGCCAAAAGCACAGCGAGTATGCTCGAGCAATTCCGATTTCCATTCCTCCTCCTCCTACTGCGCTTTCCTCCTCAACCATCCTCCTCCACCTCCGCCCTCAACTTCGTGCTCAGTTTCTGCATCCTCATGTCATTCCTCATCGTCCTCCTCAGATGTTGTCCACCTTCTCCTGCTCCTGCTCCTTTCACATCCCTTTCCTGTATCAGTGAATCACCCCTGCCGCACCACTAGAAGTGTCCGTACGCCAGGCCAGGCATTCCGATTGACACTTTCTCACAAGTAGATATACTCAAGCTTGAAGGAAGGTACCTTGCCTAAACATGGCTCTCGCCTTGGCGCCACGCACACGAAATTTGAAAGCTTCCAGCCACAAAACGGATAGAGGGTAATGCGTTTTCAAGCTGTGGTTCTCGCCCTGGCGCAACGCACATGTGTCTTACACGTTCCCGACATGTCCACGGATAGGGGTCGGGGTTAATTGAAAAATGACGGTCGCCCGACATTTGCTCAAAACGCAGTACCACAAGTGGAAAGTCGTGGCGCTTCCTTTTCAAAATGGAGCCCTCGCCTGTGAGATCGTCGGATGGTATGGCAAATAACTGGCATGTGTGCAGCAGCTCCACCAAACGAAGACAAGCATGTTCCCAAGCGGACCCGTTGCTGTGGCATAACCTTGAGGTTTTAACACCCCCGCTAAGTCGCATGACTTGTGGGGAGGTGGAAGGAGGAGGAGGAGGAGGAGGAGGAGGAGAAGAAGGAGGACGAGGAGGAAGAAGGAGGCGGAGGAGGAGGAACGGTGGAAACAGCATCGTCAAGACGGACATCCCGCCTACGTTGCGGACCCCTGGGGAACTTGTCATTCGAGGGAGGCGTCGCGCCGTGAAGACGTGGCTGCAGGGACCTGTGGCGAGGGGACTGGAGGCGGGAAGATGTAGAGCAGCATCGTTGAAACGGATAGGGCTGATGTTGTTCATCATCCTCTGTATACTCTTCCTACGTTTCCTCCCGTCGTTCGCCCTTCATCCTACCTCCTACCTCATCCTCATCCTCCTCCTACTCATCCTCTTCCTCCTCCTCCTCCTCTTCCTCCTCCTCCTCCTCCTCCTCCTCATCCACATCCACATCCTCATCCTCATCCTCATCCTCATCCTCATCCTCATCCTCATCCTCATCCTCATCCTCATCATCATCATCATCATCATCATCATCATCATCATCATCATCATCATCATCATCATCATTTTCCTGCTCCTCCTCGTCCTCCTCCTCCTCCTCCTCCTCCTCCTCCGCCTCCTCCTCCTCCGCATCCTCCTCCGCATCCTCCTCCGACACCCTCCTCCGACACCCTCCTCCTCCCCTGTGTCCTCTTCCTCCCCCTCCTCCTCCTGGTCTTCTTCCGCCTTTTTCCAGTGCTGCGCAATTTGATCGAGCATGTGTCCGTGATTTCTACTTTCTGAATGGTCCCCCACATCGAATCCTGTTGAATTGAACCTTCTTCACGTCGTCAATGGGGAGCTCAAGACGAAAAGCGTGATACTGGCTGAGATCCACAACAAGGCACGCGCTCGCGGGACTCTTCTTGCACAGACCCGTCCACTGCGCACTTGAATAGAACAGTACAACTGCGGGAAGCCAAGCATGCTGCACTCATACATCAGCAGGCGGAGGCAACGGCGCCACAGAGATTGCACAAACAATTATCCCCGCGGCGCACGATGAAGCACACCCCACCACGTGAGACACTTGCAGCTTTTCGGCACTCCCAAACTGGCGCGCGAACCCCCAACAAATTTTACCGCGCAGGGGGTCCGGTTAGTTCCGCTGCAGTCGCGCTACCTGTCGCGAAGAAGCTCAACGTAGACATCCTATTCGGTTCGCCAGGACGGCGCGGCAACGGGCCGCACGCAGGCCCACTGAGCCTGGCGTGATGTCCACGGGCCCCGTCCTTCCGTAGGAACGAAATCTGTCACTCCACGATGGAAGCGGTCCTCCCCGGATGTCCCCGTGCCGTTGTTGCCCCCCACTTTCCGCAGGACCTGCCCCTCCCAAAGGACATGTCCGCACCATGGTACTTGCGCGCGTTCGAAGATTAATCGCCCTACCACGCGCCGCCCTCCTTGTCCTTCCTGCAGACCTTATCCTTGCCCTTGCTGGCGGGCGGCGTCTGGCCAGACAGAGAGCTCGACCCCATCATTCTTGCCAGCTTCGAAGACCCCCCGCCCGCAATGTTCGTCGACGCGCTCTTCCCAATCAAATGCTGGGGCGTTTGGTTAGGTCCAACGAGCGGGCCGAGCCCTTCCTCCAGGGCCCAATCGCCGCACGACCATTGTCACCACGGGGGACTGGCACGCCCAGAAACTTCGGCGTCGCAGGCACGAACTACTCCCGCCCCCTCCTCCTCCTCATCACCCCTATTCTCTGCGTCTCCTGCGCCTGCACTCGGACCCCGGCAGCCGCGCTGCCAATGGCCCCTGCGATTGCACCCGAGGCCCCTGCGCCGCTGCGAGAAGCCCTGACATTTGCGCCACCAGTGGCGATACGCACGGGAACAAAGGCGTTTTCGACGCTTGCCGCCACTAGGGCGATCTTCTCTCCAAATTCTCGTCGGCGTCCTCCAGCGCTTGCTCGGCCGCTTCGGACATGTCCACGTCGTCGCACGCAGCGTCTTACGCGAGGAACTCGACGCACTCCGCGATGGGGCCCTGCCCTCGCGAACATGCCCCATCCCTCCTCGGGCAACGAGCCGAAGAGGAACTTGAACTTCTTGCCTCTTCGCGCATCCTCTCGGCACCTCGTCGACCTGCCTGTCGAACGCGGCGAGCAGCATGCTGCGAGGCGAGCTATGGCTGTTCGTCGGGACCTCGATATCGCGGGCCACCCTGACGACCACCGAGATGCCCCCCTGACCACGCCGCCCTCGGCCCTCGCGGCTCCAGGGTTCGCTCGGCGGCAGCAATCCCGATGCCGAGCGACCGGTCGCTCGGCGCCCATGGCAAGGTCGCCTGCAAAGCACTCCTCCGACCACCTGATCGCAAATACCTTTCCGAAGCACTTGTCTAGGCAAGGCACTGCTATAATGGGCCGCCACCCGCGCGGCAGCCCACTGAAAGTCACCGAACGCACTCCTGCCGGCCAGCGCAAAACTGCCAAACCGCTTAGGCACCCGATTGCAGGGGGAGTCTCGAGCGCCCTCCGGGCCCTCGAGACCCTCCGGGCCCTCGAGACCCCCCCTGCACGCCAGCAGTCGAGCCACCCGCAATTCCCCCATGCAGGGACGAGCCGCCAACTACGTCAACAGTGGCACCATCCACTTTCCCCTCAGATGCGCCCATCTCACATGGAGGACCCCGAGCAGTCACGACGCTCGAGCCGACCATCGGGCCATCGGCGCAAGGCCACTCCCAGGCCCCCCGCCCCGCCGTCCGCACCTCGGCCTATCCAGCAGCAGGATCAAAAAGGATCAGCAGCAGCCCCCTGACGGACGCGCGCTCTGGGGCCCGGGGCCCCGGTCGAAAAGATGGCGCGGGCTCTGGCGCGCGCTCGCTTCTCCATCCGACCCTGCATGCGCTTCACCAGCTGCCGCAGTCGCCCTGCCAAAGCCGAATGGCTGGCGGGAGGCGGCGAGTCCAAAGTTACGGGAACCCAAGACGCGCACCGCATGACCAAGCCCTGCCCCTGGCGCCACCGCATCTCCGCCACCATCAGCCGGGGGGCCTGCGCCCTCGCGCCAACACTTCCAGCGCCTGGCGACGCGCCAATTCCTCATCATCCCCACCATGACATCGGGCCGGGTCGCCTGTCCCCCATCGGCGATCTTCTCGGCGGCCCCAACGCCCACGGGGGGCCCACAGGTCGGAAGCTGCGCGCCACATCGCCTCGGAGGGACGAGGGGCGCCGGTCGCCGCGCTGCGGCTCGCACACTCTGCTTTGAACTTTGCCGCCAGAGGCCCGGCGCGGCCCTAGACGAGGCACGATCAGACGTCTTCCAGCCCGCCTCTCTCACTTGGCCCCGCGGCCCGGCCACGACGCGATCCTCGTTTCCCACGGCCATCGCAATGCCCAAGTCGTTCCAGCACGGCACGCCACGGCAACAATGCCTTCCTGGCCCCGTCGCAGCCGACCAGCCGCGCGCACCCGAGTGCTAGACAGTTGCACACCTCGGGCGGTCGCGGCG